ATTAATTTATAGCACATATATTAGAAAATAGGAAAAGTCTCAAATCAATAATCTAAGCTCTTACCTCAAGAAACTAGAAAAAGAAAAGTAAGCTGACTGAAAGGAAGCAGAAGAAAGACAGTAATAAAGGGCAGGAATCAATGTAATTGAAAACAGAAAAACAATAGGAAAAAATCAATAAAGCAAAGAGCTGTTTTCTTTAGAAAGGTCAATAAAATTGACAAACCTCTAGCAAGACTGACAATGGAAAAGAGAAAACACAAATTACCAACATTAGGAATCAATGCAGAGCTATCACTACAGACATCAACAAGATAATAAGGAAACAACAACTCTACAAAAAATAAAGTTGACAGATAAAATGGACCAATTCCTCAAAAGCACAAACTACCATAATTCATCAAACATAAAATAAATCATTTGAATAGCATTATAACTATTAAGGACATTGAATTCATAATTTTAAAAGCCAAAGAAGAAATCCACAGGCCCAGATGTCTTCACCATATAACTCTACCAGACGTTTAAAAACGGAGTGAACACTAATTGTACACAGAAGAAGAGGGGTGACTTTCCAAGTTATTTTATGTAGTGTTTGTAATGTATGTATATATTATATTTATTATTACCATGATACCAAAACCAAAGATAATGAAAAAGGAAAACTACAGACCAATATTATTTATGAGTATAGAGGCAAAAAACCCCTAAAATATTAGCAGATAAAATTCAGCAATAAAATAATTACACACCACAATCCATAGATGCAAAGTTGGTCCAATATTTTACAAAACATGTAATTCACATATCAACAGGCTAAAGCAGAAAAATCACAAGGTTATAACAATGGATGCAGAAAAAGCATTTGTCAGACTTTGACCATTTATGATTGTGACTGTCAGAAAGATAGGAATAGAAGGGAACTTCCTCAATTTGATGTAAAGAACATCTACAAAAATGGTAAATAGCTACTTCATTAGTGAAAGACTGACTGCGTTCCTGTAAGACTGGAACTAGGCAAGGATGCCTGTTCTCACTACTCTCATTCACACAGTGTTGAAAGTTCTAGCCACTACAACAAGGCAAGAAAACGAAACAAAGGCATCCAGATTGAGAAGGAAGAAATAAAGCTGTCCCTATATGCAGACATCATTATTGTCTACTTAGAAAATCCCAAGGAATCTATAAGAAGTTAATAAATAAAAAAAATGTTTTGAAGCTAATGAATTAATTAAGGTCACAGAACAAAAGATAAACATACAAAAGGCAAATGTATTTATAAATATTACCAGTGAACACATGGATAGATATCAAAATTTAAAATAACACTACCTATAACTACTCAAAAAATTAAATTATTGGTATAAATCTCAACTACATGTATAAAATGTGTATGCTAACAACTACAAAATGCTGATGAAAGAAATCAGAGATAATCTAAATAAATGGAGAGACATACTATGTTCTTGGATTGAAAGGCTTGACCTGACAGAGATGTCGATTTTCCCTAACCTGATATACAGGTTTGAAGCATTTCCTTTTAAAATTTCAGCAAGATTTTTTATAGATATAGACAAAACTTTATTCTAAATTTCTTATAGCAAGGCAGAGGAAGTAGAAGAGCTAAAAGAATTTTTAAAAAGAAGAATAAAGTGGAAAGAATCAACCTACCCAGTTTCAAGACTTACATAGCTACAGAAACCAAGACTGTGGTATCAGCAGAACAAATGCACAGATCAGTGAACAAGATAAGGACAGAAGTAGACCAACACATACATGCTGGCTGAATTTTCACAAACGTAAAAACAATTCAACTTTCAGCAAATGGGGCTGGAGCAAGTGGATACTCACACACACACAAAAAATAACATCAACTGAAGTCTCACTACCATACAAAATTTAATTCAAAGTGGATTAGATTTAAATGTAAAACTACAAGACTTTTACAGAAAAAAAAAAAACAGAAAATCTTCAGAATCTAGGGCTAGTCAGAGATGTTAGATGTGATGGCAAAGCACAATCCATAAAAGGAAAAACTAATGAAATAGACTTAAAATTTTAAAAGTTTTGCTCTGCAAAAGACCCTGTTAAAAGGATAAAAAGACAAGCTACAAACTGGAAGAAAATATTTTTAAACCAAATATCTGACAAAGGACCAGTATCTGGACTATGTAAAGATTCAGAATTTTTCAATCAAAATTTAATGATTAAAAATAAAAAAGCAACCTGGCTGGCATAGCTCAGTGGATTGAGCTTAGGCTGCGAACCAAAGCATCACAGGTTTGATTCCCAGTCAGGGCACATGCCTGGATTGCAGGCCATGGCCCTCAGCAACTGCACATTGATGTTTCTCTTTCTTCCTCCCTTCCCTCTCTATGAATAAATAAATAAATAAATAAAATCTTAAAAAAAATAAAAAAGCAAACAATCCAATTTTTAAAAGGGCCAGAAGGCATGCACAGCTATTTTTCCAAAGAAGATATATAAAGACAGTAAATAAGCACAGGAAAAAATGTTCAACATCACTAGCCACCAAGGAAATGTAAATTAAGACTACAGTGAGGTGACCCTATTGTTTGTTTGTGAGTTTCTTTTGTTTAAGCCATTCTGGTGAGTATGAAGTGGTAAAACCAAAGGCAGGCACAGATGTGGAGAAACTACATGACTCATACATTGCTAGTGCAAATATGAAATGGTGCTAGTGCAAATATGAAATGGTGCAGTCAACTCTGCAAAACAGTCTGGCAGTGTCTTATGAATCTAAATGTGCAACTACCATATGACCCAGTAATTGCACTTTAGGCACTTATCCCAGAGAAATAGCATCTTAGATACCCACTCTATGTATATGAATGTTTGTAACAGCTCTATACATGATGCCCCAAAATAGAAACCACCCAGTTGTCATCCTTCCACAGGTAAATGGTTAAACAAATCTTGTTATATGCATACCATGAAATACAGTAACAAACAAACTATTAATACATGCAATAGCCTGGGTGAATCTCCAGAGAACTATGCTTAGTGAAAAAAAAGCCAATCCCAAAAAGTTACCTACATATGCTTCCATTTATAACATTCTTGAGGTGACAAAGTTATAGAAATGGGGAACAGACTCTTAGTTGTCAGGGGGGTTAAGGGAGAGATGAGTGTGGGGTGGACGTGGTGGGGACTATAAAAGGGCAGCAAGAGGGGTACTTGTGGTGATGGAAATGTTCAGTATCTGGACTGCATCAATGTCCATATCGGATTGTGACACTATGGTTTCACAAAATGTTACCCTTGGAAACTGGGTAAAAGGTGCACAGGCTCTCTCTTTCGTAACTGCATGTGAATTTACAATTTCCTCAAAAAGTTTAATTTCTCCTGGCTGGTGTAGCTCAGTGGATTGAGCGTGGGCTAGGAACCAAAGTGTCCCAGGTTCGATTCCCAGCCAGGGTACATACATGACTGGGTTGCAGGCCATAACCCCCAGCAACCGCACATTGATGTTTCTCTCCCTCTCTCTCTCTCCCTCCCTTCCCTCTCTAAAAATAAATAAAATTAGAAAAAAAAAAGTTTAATTTCTAAAAAAAAGAGAAGCTGCTTAACAATAAATTCCAGCTAACCAAAGATGAAAATAAATTTCATGTTTAGAAAAGGTTATCAATGACCATTGAATCAGTTAAACATACAACTAAGAAAAAATTATAGGAATAATTGTTTTAGTATAGAACATAAATGTTAAACCTTGACATTAAAAACATCACATATTTGAAAATTGCCAAGAGAGTAAATCTTATAAGTTCTCATCACAAGAAAAAAATTGTAACTGTGTATGGTGGTGGATGTTAACTAGAATTATTGTGGTGATCATTTCTCAGGGTATACAAATATCCAAGTTAGGTTGTATACCTGAAAATAACAACGTTAATTGTCAATTATACCTCAGATTTTTAAAAAGGACATGGGAAGTAACAGGGAAAAAAATGAAGAGTTCTAATTTCTGCAGCTTACATTGCAACAAATAATCAATATTGTATGTATATTAAAAAATTAAGTTTTAAAGACTGCTCCAGCCTCCTGGTATTTTCCTTTAAAAAAAAAACACATAAGTAGTCTTTCAGGAAATAAAATACTTTGTGATAGAAAAGCTTTTGAATATTTCAACAATTCTTTGTTTCAGTTTGGATGTCTTTGTTTTGCTAAAATCAAGTAAAGTTAAACCCAAATATTTTAAGAAGTAGCTCCTGAAGTATGATTGTCTTATTGCATGATTTGGAGACAGAGACTTATGCCTGCAGTGTAAGAGGGTGCTGAAAGGGTGGTCACCACCTCCTGTCAGTGATAGTAATTTCTGGCTGGATGTGATCCATTTTTATTTGCTTGGTGCTGTGTTTTTCTGCTTAGTTTGAATTCTTCGTGATAAGTATATATCACTCTTATAAAACAAGTCATAGTGATTAAGCCTATTAAAAGGTTTAGAAATAAACTTTTTAAAAAAGAATTATTTTTCCTAAGGAGCAATTTCAAACAAGTGCTCACTGGCCTTACGAAATAGAGGTGATGGCAGAGAATCAAGTAGAACCAGAAACTATCATGAGGATCACTCTTCCCTAAATGATTATCTACTTTTTTTAATAGCTAATGAAGAAAAATACAAACTTTTAAGATTTTCTTGTAACAAACTGAACGAGGACTATATTAAAAACACAATACATTTATTTAAATTGTTACTTTTCAAAATTCACTGAATCTTATCACAGGTTAGTATCTTCATTCTGTCACCTTAATGGGTACATTTGTTAGTGTTACATAAAAGTTTATATGAAATTAAATAAGAATTAAAAGTACAGCTAAGAACACAGTCATGATTTGTGTGAGAGGATTCATCATCATACACACTGGTCCCTAATGTCATTTTTTCTGTTTCATGGTCCTCTCCACCTAGACTAGTTTCAGTTTAGAGAAAATAAAATGGTTCCTTTGTGCTTTGTGGCCCTGAGTGCCCAGCCATGGCTTTATCGGTTTGTATTGACCCAGTGGTACCTGTCCACCCGGCAAAGAGCTGCAGGCCTATGACCCTTAGGATTCTTACGCAGGGCATGAGAAGCATTTCCTAGGAAGCTAAGACGGCCATCATTCAGATTCTTTTTGCTGGGGATTTGGAACCAAGATTGAAAGGGCTGTTTCAAGTTTTCAACCTGAGGAAGGAAAAGAAGGAAAAGGGGGTAGTATAAAGATCTTCTATAAACTAATAAGCTAGTAAGGATTAAATAAAACCAATAACTCAACTTAAACCTGTCAAAAGTATAGGAAGTACAAATGAAGAGAAATAAAAGTAGATAATTCCGTTTGAAAAAATGGCTAGCATTTTGGATGTAACAAAGTCAACTTCATACTTTAACAAAATTAATTCTTATTCCAACTAAAATTTTTTAAAACACATTTATGCAAATTTCTACACATTTTTAACTTCTTCCTTACCTCACCCTGCCTCACTGGTGAAACCCAAAACTGTCTAATCATGATCTCTGGTACTAAGATCTAGAAATATCCACTTTAAACATCCCAATGACCAATGCGAATGTTTTGCAGACTATCCTTTGAAAGGATACTGCTCTAGAAGAATATAGCTAACCATAGATCTGACTCCTAGATGGAAGATGACCTTTCTAAGCATAAAGATAGAATTAAGGGCAAGTATTTCACTATATAATTTTTAACTTTTATACATATAAAACTATATATAAACTTATGTATGGTTTCAAAAACTATACAAGCTAAAGAAAAAAATATTTTCCAGTAATATGACAAGGAGTTAAAATGCTCTTAAAGTTTGAAGAGCCTGTAGTAATAATGGGTTGGCCAAAAAGTTCATGGGTGTATTTTTCCCCGTAAAATAAAGATACATTTTTCATTTTCACCAATAACTTTATTAATTTGGATATTTTGAGTATGTCAGCTATCTCCCATGCGGTATAACACTGATTGTTCTCAATTAATGTCTCAGTTTGATCACTGTCAACTTCAACAGGTCTGCCCAACCGTTGGGCATCATCCAGCGAGAAATCTCCAGCACAAAACTACACAAACCTTTCAACATGTTTGCTCAGTCCCAGCACCTTCTCCACACACTATTCCTACCTTTTTTTATGAATTCACTGGCATTTTTACCTTCCTTGAAACAGTAAGGCATACCATGTGAAAAATGTTGCTTACTTTTTTCCATCTTCAATATTAAAATGGCTACGCAAAACTTCACCAATTTTGATAACTGTTTTTAGTGCATGCTGATATGACATCTGTCATAATACAATCTAACAGAATTGTTTTGAATGGAATTAAAAAAACAACTTAAGTAAGCTGTGCTAGATATTCATCTTAACACACACACACACACACACACACACACACACACGAACAAACTTTTGGCCAACCCAATATATTTAGATCTCCAATGATAAGTGGATGAAAAACAGAAAATTCAAAAGACAGTAACTATCTTAAACATTTAGGGACATGGCAGGGGATTTTTTAATTTCCAATTTAATTAATAATATCTGTAATAGTATTGTTATCAAACTATTTTTAACTGAGAATACACAATTGTAGGAAAAATGGTAAACACTTTCACATAAAGCTGGTTAGACTACAAATAAACACAACTTTCTAGAAGGTACTTTGGCTGTATATTGAGAATGAGTGAAATGTCCGTACTCAATGACCTAGCAATTCCATGTCTGAGAATCACATTTCCAAAAATAATTTAAAATTCAGACATCTCAGTACAAATTATCAGCTTTTTTTATATCACAACAATGTAGAAACAGTCTAGATATCTACCAATAATACATTAACTAAGTAAATTACTAGTAAGGCAAATGAATATTAAAATTGTAAATATTTAAATTGCTTTAACAGTTTAATACATAAGTGGTTATTTTAAGAAAAAATACCAACAAGTATATGGATACAAAGTGTCAATGTTTTTCAAACTGTGGGTTACCACCATTAGCAAATCATGAAATTAGTTCAGGTGGTTGAAATCAATTTAATTTAATACAAAGTGTTGGGAGAATTGTACTAGTAAGAATAAGTATTGTTCATGAAACCTATTTCTAATACAAAGCAGTGCATAGCTTAAAAATAATTTTTTTTTTCAAAAAACTGCTCTAGTGGTGGGTTTGCAAACCTTTGATTATATCTTAATTTTCCAAGTTACCTATGAGTGGTACCTATATGACTGTTGTAAAAAATGCCCACTAATTTTAATATTTAATTCTAAAGAAATTTAGGTGAAAGAAAGGTCATGTTCAAATACTGTACAGAAAATGGGACTGCAAAAGATGGTACAGATCCTGAGCAGCCAAGGGAGGAAATACCTATAAAATAAAACAAACATTTTGCCAGAATATTGAAATCGTGATTTTAATCTTTATAGTGTCATTTTTTTCCATGTTTTCCAATTGCTGTTTCTTTGCTTTTACAGTGAGCATATTCTTTTTAGAATTCGAATTAGGATAAAAGTATGGAGAAGAACTGGAACACACTTTACCTTATAAATACTCTTTGGATTGCTGACTTTAGGAATTATCTGAGGTTCTTTGTGATAACTTTCTTCGTCGGAGGAAGTGCCAGAGGAGTGGTCTAGTGTGGCCCTGCTGACAGCATCCCGGATCCACAGGTACAGCTCCCACTCCTCCCACCTGCCTTTGAAAGAAGCCACTGTAAATGGATGATTTTTCTCACCATACCTAAGTAACAAAGGAAAATAAAGTATTCATTTGGGTTTCAATGTCTCACAGTTTTATCTCAAATCTTTTCTGGAGACAACTCACTAACTTAACAAAAACAGTTATTTTGAAAAACAAATTGAAGTGACTTAATAGCAAAGTAAGTTGAGAGACATAATCTTCAACTACTACACTGTTGTAATTAGTGGGGGTATTCTGTAAGAACTATTTCCTTCAATTAATTGCTCAGAAAAAGACAAAGACTAGTGTCTTTTGACCCAAATAATGGACTGAATTGCCTCATGATAAGTAACTCCTCTTCCTCCTTGATACTGCCTATAATAATACTTAGATATTATAATCTACTATTGGCAATAGGAGGCAGGGATCAAAATCAAATTTCAAGTATTATGCAAAATCTTTGTGCTTCCGACTGCTACTGGAAATGTGTGTTATCTAATAAAGTTTGCATCTAAAAATCTTAACCAACCATTGCCCTCTCTGCTAACCCAGGGTTTTGGAACATCATCTTTCACAAAGGTGTACAGAATTGACCAAACAACCTGTTTCCAGGTGTCAGAGAGAACACAAACTCTTACTTCCAATGAGACTACTCACCTACAGCAAACTTCAAAGGGATCTACCCATATTGTCATCTCCTTTGGAAGTCCCAGGTGAGCAAAATCCACATTACTCTCAGCACAAGCCCTTTGCAGAATGGGATCTTTATTTTGATTATTGTTTATCCTGATACACCTTTAAAAACAAGGAAAGGGAAACAAAGGCATGATGACAGGTGCTTTAGCAGGAGAATCATGTTGTAGGCACACTGCTGCAATACACACAGTTCCAACCTCGCCCTTGCCCTCCCCTGACCCTCCAGTTTTTACAAGTAAGAGTTGAAACATCAACTTTTCTCACAGCAGCTCAGAATGTGAGTTGCATCACTAAGTCACACAATTAGTTCACCAAACATTCACTGTATATCTTTCACAGTAAACACAAGTTAGAAATTGCTTAAGTTTGTACTGTAATATTGAACTCCACTATCACCTACGCATCTCTTTCTTTCAAGCCTATATTCAAACAAATACATTTGGATCCATAAAACTGGCATTACAGATAGACTGCCCACAAAATCATGGTCAATGCTTGTTGCTTTCCTTTCACACAACGGCACTGGCTCTTACCTGAAGGCTTGCCCTTTGGAAGGACACTCAGAGTGCCAGTGACTTCTGTAGGTTTCAAACAAGACGGTCATCAGCTTTTCTGCAAAGGTTTCTATTTGCTGTTTACTCAATTTATCATGCTTTTTCACCAATCTTGTGAGGAAGAAAACTGTTGTTGCAATTTCATCTCTCATGATTCAAGGAGAAAGAAAACCTATGAGAAGGTCTGTAACCATTAAAAGGAAGCAAGAAGAAATTAAATAGAAACAAGGGCCTAACTTACCAACATATAATTGCTATTTGGAAATTATAGATACCTTAAATTTACAGCAAATTATTTGCTACTTCTTAATGAGCTAAATAAGCACATTAATACTATCAATCAACAAAACAAAACACCACTTCCCCACCTAGGTAGTTTTTAACGACTTTCAAAGGAAAAACATCTTTTTAAACTCTAATATACTTAACAAATGAAATATTATGCAACTTAAGTAAAAGAAAAAATGTTGAAATACAACAGTAATTACACCAAGCACCACTTTTTAAAAACATATTCACAGAGAGCAAAAACATTTCAGGATACAGTATAGCTTTAAAATGTGGCTCTCAAGTTGCACACTTTAAGTAGAAGTTGAGATTAATCAAACATATTGTACTTGCCAGCAAAAATCCTTTAGCCCCAACAAAAAGTGGGTGAGAGTTAGAAGACCAACTATGCTTTAGGTTTCTGACTCGCACCCTCACCTGCTTTGCCAGTATGGGGCTGAAATTTATATAAGCCTGGGCCCCAAAGCCTGGTAGGTGTTTAACCTGACACAGGTGCTGTCCTTTAGGATAATCAGCTTTTTTGAGGTCCCCATGAAATTGCTCCTTGTCATATGTAGACTGGGTTCTTTATCTAAAGTGTTCAAAGATTTTCAAACTGGATTTGTACCTTCCATTTTATTTTAAAGTCTTACCTTTTTGACAGATTAAGAATCAAGCCTTCTCCTTCCATATCGTAATATCCTACATTCCAATAATTTCATCTCTAATTGTAACTACCAACATATTAAAGAATTTTGTCTAAAATCTTTTATAAAACTTATGACAACTTTCTCTGAGCAGTCATATGTTGACTACACACATTTTTTACTAAAATGCTTATTTGTAAAATAAGTGGAAGAGATCTCAGAGTTTACTAATCTCACTAGTTCTCAAAGTGTAGGTCACTGACCACCAGTCTAGATCCACCACGCCACTTGTTAAAAAGGCCAGTTCTTGGAACTTATCCCAGATCTGAGTCAATACTTCTAAAAGCAGGGCCTGGTAACCAGTATTTACCAAGCCTCCAGGTGATTCATATACCCACTAAAACTTAAGAATGTTCACACCTGACATGTAAGCCTTTAACACCCACAGCAAGTAGTCATTCAAGTTCATGTCAGTGAGAAAGTATTCATTCTCCTACAAGGAGGCCTGTTTCATTTCTAAAAAACTCCGAACACCTGGCAGTCCTCCCTCCCTCTGAGGAGCCAAATCCAGCTCTGTGATTCTCTGCCTATGTAGCCTAATTTCTCCCTCTGGATTGCATCGAATCCTCCACCACATGAAAACACTATAAATGCTAGCTTTTCAACCATCTCTGAGACTCCTCTGGGAGGGGCCACTCCCAGCTTTCCAACAGTTCTTTTAAAAATGCTACTCAGAGACTTCGCCAAGTTTGGCACTCACCTCTGGCTAAGCTTCAGGTGCGTCAGTGACCCTCTTTTAAAGTGTGGAGCCCAGAATCACGCACAGTGCTCCAGTGTCCTCTGCCATTACTAAACAGAGCAGGACTGCCACCTCCCTTGCTTTGAACACTATATTTCTACAACGCAGCTTCAGGTTGCATTTACCTTAGTGGCAGTAGCAGCATACCACTGCCTCACACTGAACTTGCAAGTAGTCTTTTTTTTACTAATGCTGTTGTTTCGCCACGTCTTTATCTTCTTGCATGGTATAATGTTCAAGAAAATGGGCTTCGGAGTCAGATCTGGGTGTGAGCTGCAGCTTTACAACTCACTATCTATAATCTTGAGACACGTGCTTAACCTCCTGAACTTTACATTTCCTGTCACTGAAGTAGCAACTTCCTAGGGTTGTTACTAAGATCACAACTATTAATGTGTTAAAGTAACTGATCCAACTACTAGTTACCTACCAGTTAGGAAATCAGTTAGTTACCTAGCAGCTGAGAAATCAGCTATAAAAATCAAGCACCGTGGATGAATCCCAGTCCTTACCTTACTAGAAACTTGGGGAAGTTTCTCAGCCTCTCTATCCTTGAACCTCATCTGTAAAAGGGGGGAGAAGTACACCTAAGGCTTTGGAATCAGACAGCCAGATTTGGATCCCACCTCAATTTACTGTGTAACTTAGGAAGTTGCTGTGTTCCTATAGCTTCTCTGTGCCTCAATTTCCTAATCTATATAAAGAGAGTAACAGTAGGACCCAATTTGTAGAGTTGTTAGGAGAATTAAGTGTAAACTACCTAGACCAGAACCTAGTACTCAAGACAAGCTCTGTAAATGTTAGATATTACTACCAGTTGTGGTATAATTTTCATACTACCGTACTGCTATTGTTTTATGAGGTTCTTAAGATTAAATTTAAAAATTATATGAAGCATTTAGCAGAGGGCCTAGCATATAGTATGTGCTCAAAAAGTGATAACCTTTCTTATTAATAAATGTAAGGTTATATTTATTATTTTATGATGTGTTTTCTGATGCTTTGTGGATTAAGTGGAATATAAAACCTAATTGCAGCCATACATGTCATATTTCATTGTATTAAACTCAGACCATCACTATAAAGAATTGAGATTATTTGTGACCTTGATTTTTGTATTCTAATAAATTCTTTTATCTTTCTGGCTTCCTGTTATCTGTAAATATGACAAGAATGTATCCTGTTATAAGTAGTGAATTAAAAGGTTTAAGGGGATAAAAATCAAGCAGTGTGCTTTTACAAAATCTAGTGAAAAACACATTAGAATATATTCTAGAAAGATCTGCAAGGATATATTTTTTAGTTATTTTGTAGCCTAATCGTTTATAATAATATTAGTAGTACTATTTTGAAACATGGGGAGAGACTAGGGGAATACAAATATTTACTCTATGGTATTATGAACTAAGCTTTTTAATGTAAGGAAAAGGAGATAAAAGTGTAAAATCAAAAAAATTAAGTAAAAAGTCCCATAATGTTAAATTTGAAATGGCAAGATTAATATGAACTTGTGATTTTTTTCTTTTTAAAAATGTATATTTTAGTTCTGCCCATTGAAAAGGTCTTGAATTAATAAATAATCCTAACATTCATTTTGTGGTCTCTAAATACACCTTAAAGAAAATCCTTGGAGAAATGGCAAATTTCAGTTCTAGTTCAGGTAATTTTTATACCAGAAAGCAAGGAAACTATACAAAACCAATGATCATGTCAAAAAACAAGAGCCTGCACAAGGCACTCCCAGTGGTCAAAGATAAGTCATTTTGAACTTTGTAATAGATATTTTGGTCCTTCAACCTGTTCTCCTCTTCAGGGTCAACACAATTATCCTCCAACAGATGGAACTATTGCATCAGATGCTGTTGGCTCACAGCTGTATCCCTCTTTGAGAATTGCTCTGAGAAACCAAGTTATCTTCCCCTCCCCGTTTGACAGGCTAATGTGGAGATACAAAAACCTGGCTGTCTTACCTCAATTTGCAGCAACTCTGAAGGGCCATCTATCTCCAGAGCTTCTCATAAAATAGGCTGAGTGAGGCCTCAATTGCTATCACCTCACTGGTCCATCTCTCGCTCTGCCCAGTCCTACCTTTCTTACTCCCTTACCAGTATGTCTCTCAAGAGGACTCTCCAGTAAACTTTCTGCGTGCAACTCCCATCTCAGAGTCTGTTTCAAAGAAATCCAATCTAATACAATTTGTAACAGGAATGTTTTAAGGAAGCCAACTCTAAAATGAAATTTTTGGAGATGGATTACTCATGTGCTGGCTGGAATGAAAACTTCATTGCTAGTGGTAGTAGAATATGGGTGTGGATGGCTTCCGGCATGCTGGAGAGGTGTGCTTGTCAAAACTCTTATCAATGATGGAGATGAAGTACAGATATCAGCAGGTATATTGGCTAGTGTAGTATCTTTGATGTTTAAGAGGCATGAAAATGATTATATAAAAACTATGGAAAGGGATGACTGAGTCATCTAATAATGACATGATTTAATAAGGCTAGTTCGATTCAGTAAGTATCTAAGTATCTACTAAATACCCAGAACACATAAAAAGAAAATAAAGGTGGGACTAGGACCCTAATGATCTTCCACGTCCACAGTGTCTTATCTAGTTCAGCTTTCCATGATATATTTCTTATACCCTTTACTCAACTGCACAGGTTTCCAAATTGCTGCAGTTTGGAATCACCTGAGTATCTTTTTAAACTACTGATGCCTGACTCCTACCTCCAGACATTCTGATTTAATTGGGGTACAGTACAACCCAGGCATCAGGATTTTAAAAGCTCCCCAGGTAATCCTAATGTTCAGCAAAGGTGGAAGATCATCAACATAGATCTTTCTTAGCTATCAAAGAAATTTGAATTTTATTTTACACTTTTGATTGCTTAATAATGCCTTAAGCTTAACAAAGATTATTATGAAATATTTGCATCTCATCTTATCTAGCCTTTGCTGGGATAACCTTTGCAAAGATTACTTTTTAAACTTCTATTGGAAATAACAAAATTGAAAATAAGATAACTACTCAGATATTACTGAAATAAAATTTGCTTCAGAACTAAAGACAACATATGCACACACTCAAATTTTTCTTTTTCAAGTGACTAGTGTTTGCATTTATAGTATTAAAGTGGTGTCAGGTATTTAATAGTGCTTTTATTATTTCATCTTCCCAGATAGCTAATGTTTTACTGGACTTTTGAGTTAGTGAATCACATTAGCTGATAAGGCTTTGAACCCTATCCTAGCATTAGTTTCTGCAACAGGCCCAGGCAGGCCTTGAAAGTATGAATAGAATAGTAGGGTAACAATGTACTTAGATTTCAGGAAAGAACAATCAAATAGAAACTAAACATCATGCAAGACTTCCTTCAGTTACTTGTTTATGACCACCTATTTTAATCACCTCCTACACATTAATGACAACTATGTCTTCTGTTATAGTTAACATTATTTGCTCATGAT